ATCAAAGTTAATGGGAGAAATTACCTGGTGCTACTGCCCTTAAACTGATGCATGTAACTATCCAGACGATTGAAATCAAATGATCCTCTTTCCCTGCATTGTTAAAATAATTGTCATATATCAGATAACCAAGAACATTGTGCAAAATTAGAAAACGAAAAAAAGATGAGAAATTTTAAAAAATATCACTTTTTAAGTGTCATTTTACAAAAATGCCACACTTTTGAAATCTTTACAAAAATGCCACTTTTTCAAAATTATTTTTTCTTTATATTATTTATGTTTGGGTTAATTATGTTCTATTAGGGTTTAGTTTTGAGTGTTTAGGAGGTTTTACGTGTCAAAACATTTTTTAAGGTTTAGAATTTTAAAATATAGGCTTTATAAATCTATAATTAGTGGCATTTTTGTAAATGAATACCCCTAAATGGTATTTTTGCAAATGTGCACACAAAAAGTGGCATTTTTGTAATTGCCCCAAAAAAGATTGAGATAAAACTCACAAAGCTTGATCAATGTTATTGATTAATCGAGCTGAATCTTTGAAGTATAATGCGGCAACTTCTTCAACAAAATTAGGGTTTGCATCATCTTGGAGCTCTTCCAACTCCATGAATTGTTCGTCGAGATATCCCTACATGCATTTTCCCGTATTAGCTTTGACAATTAATTAATTTTTAGAAAAATAAATTCATAACTAGCTAGTACGAACTCTCTATATTATATTACAAAAAAACTAAGAAAGAAACCTGATCAAAGAGGGACTGCTTAATGAGTGCCACTTGCCTTTGCATTTTTGTTTAAATTTTTGAGAAAAAATGTACTTTTTTTTTTTTGCCAAGTGAGAAAACCAATGTTTTAATTCCTTTTTATCTTAATTCCAGTGGCGATGCACATCTGAGATATATATATAGGGGAAGATAGAATATAAATTATTAATTTCATATTACATCAAAAAAGAGAAAGTAGAAAAGAGAATATTTATAAAAATGATGGGAACCTGCAACGTATAAGGTCATGAATTATGTATTGTACTGCAAAAACCAATTGTGTATTCGTTATTATCAGCTTATTTCGATGACAAAATGGATGCATTTCTCTATATAATTTCTTTTATTTAATTATATTGCAGGTGATATCGACTGGTATGTGTCTTGAAAGATATAAGTTAAGTTTATGTTTAAGTTTTGAATATGGGATTTTAAGATATTAAATAATTAATACTCAATGTAGATGTTCAATTAATTATGTGTCTATTATGAAACAAAAAATACTAAAGTACTACGGTAGATGGTCGATCTATCGCATAAAAAATATTATTAACCTACTTCTAAATGTGACCCAAAAAAAAAACCTACTTCTGAATTGATAAATGAATTTGAGAAAACCCTACTCGTCAGAGACAAGAGAAAAAAATAGATGGAGTTTACTCTCCCTTCAACATCAGGTGCTTTTGCTGGTGTAACAAATTGATT